GTCATGGAGTTCCTCAAGGTTCAGTGCTTGGACCAATACTCTTTACCTTGTATATGCTTCCATTAGGTAATGTTATTAAACAGAATGGGATAAATGTTCATTGTTATGCTGATGATACACAGTTATATTTGACCATGAAACCCAATGAATCCAATCAGCTGCTTAGACTACAAGCATGTCTTAAAGACATAAAAACCAGGATGACCCTAAATTTTCTGCTTTTGAACACAGACAAGACTGAGGTTTTAGTTTTTGGACCTGAGCGTTCTAGGAATACATTTTTCAGTCTTTGGCCCTCCTTAGATGGTATTAATCTGGCTTCCAGCTCTAATGTTAAAAATCTTGGTGTTATTTTTGATCAGGACATGTCTTTTATCCCCCACATTAAAAACGTTACTAGAGCCGCCTTCTTCCACCTGTGTAATATCACTAACATTAGAAACATCTGATCTAAAAATGATGCAGAAAAACTGGTTCATGCATTTGTCACGTCTAGACTGGACTATTACAATGGTTTATCTGGATGTCCAAAATCTTCTTTAAAACGTCTTCAGATGATCCAAAATGCTGCTGCCAGAGTCTTAACTGGAGTTAGTGGGAGAGCTCATATCTCTCCAGTTTTAGCTTCTCTCCATTGGCTCCCTGTCAAATCCAGAATATAATTCAAAATCTTACTTTGTACTTCTAACCTACAAAGCCCGCAACGACCTAGCTCCATCTTATATTACAGATCTTATTGTTCCATATTTTCCTAACAGAGCATTTTGCTCTCAGACTGTAGGTTTACTTGTGGTTCCTAGAGTTTCCAAAAGCAGAATGGGAGGAAGATCTTTCAGTTATCAGGCTCCTCTCTGGTGGAACCAACTTCCAGTTTCTGTCTGTGAGGCTGACACATTGTCCAGCTTTAAGACTGGGCTGAAGACTTTCCTTTTTGATAAATCCTATAGTTAGGGTTGGCTTTTTATGCTGCTATAGGCTTAGACTACTGGAGGACAAATTGACCTCATTTCCTTAAATAAATTGTTAAAACTGAATAGTTTTCATTTGATATTATTTCTATCTTGACATGTGATTCTCGACCTGCCATTGTGTATCTGTTCCTTCTTCTTGTTCCTCTCAAACCCAGCCGGTCGAAGCAGATGGCCGCTTGTCCTGAGCCTGGTTCTACTAAAGGTTTCTTCCTCATGAGGGAGTTTTTCCTTTCCACTGTCTCCTTCATTCTTCCTCGAGATGAGAGTCTGTGAAGAAGTTAAATTCAAAGCAGTCTGCTCCTCAGATAAATAATGTTAAATTGTTATTTTAAATATGAATGTTTCTGTTCAGTGCCCTGAGATGACTTCTGTTGTGACTTGGCGTTATATAAATAAACTGAATAGAATAGAATAGAATAGAATAGAATAGAATAGAATAGACAGATATATAGTTATAATAGGGAGGATCACGTAACAACACTATGCTTAAGAGTTGGTGTGGTCCACTTTACGGGGGCTATGAAATCACATTATAGGGATCTTTCATAATTAAATATGAAAAATTAAGTGTATAATATATGATTATGGGTATTGTTATATAAAGAAAGTAAACCCCTCAACATGTTTTACTTTTGTAATTGAAGATATTGTGATTTTGGATGTTTAGATATTTAAAAAAATACTTTGTAGAAAAAACTTTATTGTAAGTGTGAATACGATCTTAACTTTTGCCCTATGTTTTAACATTTTAGCTAACAAATAATATTAAAACACTTGCTGTAAGCTAAAAGTAGTAAAAGGTTAGTCAAAAGATAAATGTTACAAAATGGTAGCTGAAGCAACAAATAGCAAAATGCTAGCTAAATTCTAAATTTACTAAAAGCAGCAAAACATCAGTTAAAAGCTAAAAGTGTGAGGATTTGTGTTCCCTAGCGTGTCTCCCTCTTGCGGTCTGTAGCTCCTGATGCTCCCACCTGTTCCTGAGTGTCCTGTCCCCAGGTGCTTGTCATTGTCTGTCTTGAACGTTTTTCTACAGTTCAAGTCAACTTTATTGTCATTTCCATCAAATGTGGTACATGAAGTGGAACGATGTATGTACTCAGGGTCTCAGTTACATCCAACAATAGCAAAAATATAAAGTTTAAAAAGAAGCAGTGAAGACAGATCTAAGATATACACTAAGAAATACAGTAAACACTAATAACGTAAAGCAATACGGTGTAATAACAGCAGTCTGAGGCAAGCTAAAGGCTAAAAAGGCTAAAAGCTGAAATGGCAAGCTAAAAGCTAAAAAAGAGGTAAAGACTAGCTAAAGGTAAAGTTGCAAAAAGGTAATATAGTTTAAAAAAACTATCTAAATGTAAAGTAACAAAAGATAGATTTAAGTAGCAAAAAGCTAAAAAGAAAACAACAGATACTGCTGAAAGTAGCTAAAGGCTAGCTAAAAGTATTAAAATGCTAGCTAAAAATGGCAAAAGGCCTACTAAAAGATGAAGAAGCAAAAAGGTGGCTGAAAGCAGCAAAAGGCTAGCTAAAAGCTAAAAATAACAGAACCATAGCTACAAGGCTAGCTACAAACGCTAAAGGCTGGTTAAGAGTAGCATAAGAACAAAAGCAGGTGGTATGCTGATGTAGATTTAAAATAAAACAATGTTTTTGAAGGAACTGAAGACATCGCACATCCATAGGCAGGTTAAAAACTTTGAACGTAGCACTACAACCGGTGAATCACAACTGAAAAGCAGTAAATGTAACATCCTGATTGTATCATCTGACTAAAAGCAGCCCTGCACACTGATGTCAGTCGCTGTCCTTCTTCACAAAGATTCCTGCACAGCGGAGGGCAGAGTCCACCCCCACGGTCACATATGGAACCCAGATCCCTGTCGGGTGTGTACGTGTGATTTGGGGACAGTGTTTTGTGAGGACGTGGTTTGTGAGGACATAGGTGACTGCCGGACCGCAGAGATCCCAGAGGGCGAATGCTGCCCCGTGTGTTCGGCTGCAGAACTGCAGCTTCACATGGAACCTGGTAAATTGCACGTTTAGCCCAGTAATCCAGGTTAACTTCCAGGTCTGCTTGTGTTCCTGAAGTCAGCAGCTGGTGGCGCTCTTTGTCTTCGTCTCAGCCTGAAACCCTCTTCCTCTTCAGGCTTTTCTTTGTGCACACCACTGCCCACTGCTGTTTTTCAAACGTGTTGTTTAAGGGAATACATAAATCTTTTTTATTTTTTACCATATAAGCTCACTTCTCAACAACTGTGTGTGCAAAAAGATCTGTCACACAAGAATAAGTTGAGCAAGTAACTTATTTAAGGTGTATTCCTGCAGAAAATCACTGCCTCTTTCCACTTTTTAATGTAATTTGTTACGTGAAACTGGAGATTGAATGAAGCATTAAAAGGACTGCATGCATGGTAAAGAGGTTTAAGCATGTTAGCATTAAACGAAGAAAACATGCATACCAGAATTATTTCATAAAGATATTTGGGTTGTATTTTTCCTTTAGTTTTTTGGCAGCCAACAGTCTATTTCTACATTAAATCTCACAGTGGTATAACGTTGATCATTGACAGTGTTTATGTTAAACTACTTTTAAAAGACTTGCAGGGTTTATCTTTTCAGCTTAAAAATGAATAGAAATATATTACGACGGAGCTTTAAGGCCATGCTAAGATTTTTTTTAAAGCCATAAAATTACAAAAATAAAGTTGAATAAAGTCAATATTACGAGAATAAAGTCGTACAAGACTTTTTTTACAGCTCTCGTTTATTTATTTTTATTTTTTCCACGAGTCGGATCCACAACACGACCTGTCAATCAATCCAGTAGGCGTGTCAGCAAATGACCAATCCAAAGCTAAATGCTCCGTACCTGCAGAGAGCTGCTGCAGCCCATCAGAGCGTACCACCTTAATGTAAGCAGGTTCAAAGTCCTGATACTGAATAATCTGATGCTGATGTGCTAACAGATTAGCCATCTCCTTATTTGTAAAACTAGTACCAATGTATAACTTAACAAGATGCTCAACATTCTTCATTTTACCACAGTTAAAATGAGGTAAACCCTGCTTTGTCGTGTCGAAGTCTGGATAATATTACGACTCATTTAGCTTCGGGTTGGTCATTTGCTGACACACCTACTGGATTCAGTGACAGGTCAATTTGTGGATCCGACTTGTGGAAATTTTTTTTTTTAAATAAACAAGAGCTGAAAAAAAAGTCTTGTACAACTTTATTCTTGTAATATTAGGGCTTTATTCAACTTTATCCTAGTAATACTATGACTTTATTCTCGTAATTTTATAGCTTTTAATTTTATTTCTTAGCATGGCCATAAAGCTCCGTCATAATATACTCAACGTTTTTTTATACAGGTTAGTCCCATTGAGCCTCAGGGACTCATTTACAAGAGAGACCTGAATGGTATATATGGCTATATATACCATATGGTATGGTATGGTATATATAGCTATATATTCCATACCATATGGTATGGCTATACCATACCATATAGTATATATAGCCATATATACCATACATATGGTATGGCTATAACATATGGTATGGTATATATAGCTATATATACCATACCATATGGTATGGCTACACCATATGATATGGTGTATGCATAGCCATATATACCATACCATATGATATATATGGCTATATATACA